ATGATGATTTGCTGAAAACATATGTTTGCCAAGTTGACTTCTCAACTTAAGATTGGGAGTATTTGCATAACTTAGATAATTTATTGGTTGAAATTTTTCGACATCGGCTCACTAGGTTTTGTCTTAATCATTTAAAAAGTCATTTAGACGCTTTCTTGGCCAGACTTTTGTTCACCTGACAGATGTACCCGTTTTGAAAATGATAATGCGTCTCGTATGCGTGATATGACGCTCTGCTAAAAGCAACAGTTACTCGAAGGATTGAATTTGTTGGAAATCTCAAACTAATGAAAAGCAGTTATCGAAATGTTGAATTTCTAGATTATTGTACGCTTAAATGGAGCGCCGGTTTCTTGACGACACCCTAAAGATTATCATTATTTGATGTTCAAATTCGTTTTCTCATATTCAAAACCAGTTCAGCACATGGTAGACTCCAATGAAGTAACGAGTTATTTCACTGGGGGTCCTTTATTCATGCCTAAGAGTATAACATTAATTGCATGGTTCACATCCGCACCGATCACAGCTGCATAGATAGCTGATTGGCTGAAGTTAAACTCGACTTTCCATTGGTCGAGCATGAGTATAAAAACGAGCTTCTGTATGCGTTAAGTATAATTGACATTTTAATGTATCGGAACATGCTACCGCAACTTGGCTACTGGAAGAGTCGTGGGGTAAACAGTATATAATTTATGCTATGGGCACACAGCCCCTCACACACTATTTTATGCATACGCATTAATTTTCTCTACTCAAACATGAAATTCAAAGCTTACTATGCCACCAAAGCCCACCTGCTCTTTGATGGCCAATTTTTATTATTTTACTTCCAATGCAGGTTAATTCTCGATGATCACATATCTGTGTTGATTAGAGTTTATCTGCAATCATTTTCTTCTCTGGATCAACCTTATTTGCTTAGAAAATCTTTCAAAGAACGCACATAGTATTTGTATACACGGGAGGTGTGGGATAAAAACTGAAACACCATGCTACATTTCCCTTCTGTTATTGCTAGCATTCTTTCAGTACTCAAGATTACGTCTCTGTTCTTGGATTACGGTCTGTAATTCATTTGTCATGAGCATCATTTGAGTATATATCGAAAGTTAGGCTCTATAGGTAATGTTCTGTTATGTATATGAATCTTTAAGTTAATGGGTTTTCCTTGGTGTTGAAAATACAGCCAATTTAAGGTATGAACAAAATAATATAGCAATTGATATCCTCATGCCCACAAAAACACTATATCGCATTCTACAGTAATTGGCCAAGGCGATTAGTGTTTCATAATATCTTGGTTTTAAATTGTGCTCAGTAATGAGTACATCCAATTATAAAAGAACGTCGAAAGCTATTTTTTTAGTATTTTTTACAAATATCCTTACTTCCAACACAAATTACCTACAAGTAGGAGTGCACTGATTGCGTTAAATTAGGAACGGTTTCTCGAGATCAAACGTTTTGAATTTTAGTTTGAATTTTAATTACCTAAATATCTGTATACGTCATATTTTGTCTCAACACTCTACTTGTGGTGTACCTACTGCGATGGAAAAGCCCTTGCAAAGCTGTAACTTCAATGCGTCCAAGGGAGTCCTTCACCGCAATCTACGAATTAATAAATAAACTCGAAAAATCGGTAGATTCTGTAACTTTTTTAATCACCGATCAAAAGCAAATAGCTGAGACCGCCGCGTTCAATGAGGCGTTGTTCGTTTGCAAGTAACCTTCCTTGCATTTTAACGAAGTCTGTAAGTGCCAACCCCTCTACTCGAACAATTTGAACAGTCACAAAATGATACTTACTTCGTAGCAACCCACTTGTAAAGGGTTAAGATCCCTACAGGTTGCAATTGGGTCAACTCAAATTAAGCAAATTCGCCAAACCTCTTAATAATTAAATTAGTCTAGTAGTCATTCTGGTAGATTCTAGATGATTGCTTAGGAAATCCTGCTTGGGCAGTCAGCTTGCTGTTTCCTATTGGTGGATTCCATACAAGAGGTAAAGTTGGGCAGGTATTATCGACCCAAGTGTGATTAAGTTCATGGCGCAAGGTGGGGCGTTTGTAGCTCAGTTGGTTAGAGCGTTGGCTTCCGGTAAAGGCCTTCCCTACTAGGCGGGATCAAATCTCACCTCATGCCTCGAGTTTTTCACAATTGGGTCAACTCAAATTAAGCAAATCTGCCGCCAAACCTCCTCAAAATTGGTACTTAGATCAAAAACCCTACGAATTTCGACCCTCATTGTCCCCTGCATTTGTCTTTTCACAGCTGGGTCAACAGATTCGACTTCTGCTGAAGTACGTTGGCGAGCCCTTTGATCAGGTCTTCTACGAGGCGGGTCCAGGTGAGTCTTTTCTAACCCCCCGATACATGCCTCCTTTTCAGCTCCTGACTTCTCAAGGGAACAGTGGCTCTCCAAGAAGGATAGGCTGGGTCTGGACTTTCCAAACGTGAGTGTCGTGTCTGAATTTAAAAAAAAAACATTTACCCGTCTAGTTACCCTACTTCATCGACGGCAGCTTGCGACTGACGCAGTCCAGTGCCATCTTGGAGTATATTGCTGACAAGCATGGAATGTGTAAGTTGCACAGTCATACTCTACAACTTGCATAAAATTCAGTTTTTGAACACCCACGCACATGCTCTCCTACACGCACCTAAGATTTTACATGTGTGTTTGTATAATCCCTAGCAGAATGAATAGGTATGAACCTTTCTTTTAAGGTTGGGCGCAATTGAGGTTAAGGAATACGCGGGTTCGAAACTCGAGTGTGGCTGCAATTTCCGCGGCTACATTGGAGTGGGGTAACTGCACCTGATGATGCCTAATGAGGCAGAACTACATATCGTGCATGCCCCCTCATGTTTGCCGGTAATGCTTAATAAATTATATATATATAT